TCAATTGTTTTGATGATCACATAATGCTGCATCACTCTTTCTCTAGTTATTATTGATCTCTATTCCCTACTCTCATAAGAGCCCAATATTACATCGCGAGTCATCGGCCTGAAGAAAAGGTGATTTACAATAACATATATGATGTTACATAAGTCACATTATGCTTTTATAGTATATTTTGGTATATAACCCACCACTTGTGCATTGTACCTTTGGGTTATAACCCATAACTTGTGGCATTACATATGCTGAAACAGGTGTTCCAGCAGCACCTACCCTTCTGGCAACCACGTCCCACAACTTCATGCACAGTCGCGACAGGGTTACGATGGTCTTGGTCTACTCCTACCCGGGCTGGCATTCTTTGGCAATACAAACCCCCGACCACAAACTCAGCCATACAACCCTATGATGCTAAGCCATATGAAGGACAACTTGCACATGAACATGAATATGATGCCTTCGAGTCGCCAGGACTATTATGGTGAGCCAATGAAACTGACACAATATCTCACTCAACACCAACAGGCTTCGATACTCAGGCGCCGGATGTTGGGAATTTTCCGATCTCACCTTCATATACAGTGTTCCAAGTTAATCATAAGGGTTAACTTAAATAAGGGGTTATTAACCCCTAAGGGCTAAGCCCATAACATCGCGGCCCAAGCATCTAAGACCTTAGCTATCCCTTAACATGCAAGCTCCGAGAAAGCTGATCGGTGATCGGCGACTCTGAATCGCCGGCCCGAAGCGTGTGATTTTAATTTTTTTTGCTTCTATCCCGCAATGCCTCCGACGAAGGGCCCTCTGTGGGCATACTTCTACACAGCCCCGAAGCAGAACTCGAAGCACAATCGTGCGGTCCACTGGCGCTGCATTGACGCCCAGCGGCCACCATCGCAGCCTGTCGATGTTGAGACGGTGGAGGATCACGCTTATTAGCAGGGAACCGTGGTTTGAGCAAGGTGCGCATGTATTGTTCTCCAAGTACACTGTTGATGCACCCAGTGAAAAGACCCCGGAATCGGGAAGTATGCAGTGAGATAGAAGTAAAATCAATGTGATGGTGTACGATAAGACGGGATAATCAGTGATGATTTGTCTGAGTGACTCGACCAATCTCTTTCTGTCACTGGCACTGTGCTAGCTTACCGCCAACTCAGACTTTCGTGGACATATGGTATACAAGCCTTCGTGGACATACTGTACTCTATGCTGATACCAGTGCTGCCAGCCTCCGACATCTACCTAGGCAGACTACGACGACGGATATGTATTCACAGACGAGAACCCAACCAAATACCTTTGCAAGTGCCCTCGCAGTTGTCGGGATGGTACAAAGGTCTCCAAGAGCACTTGGTTTCGCCATCATAAACCCGCCACTGGCACCGATATGGATTCAGAGGAGAAATCCCGGCCGTCTCGTCGAGCAGTTCCAGCTCCCGTGTCAACAACTGCTGGGAGTGCTGCAGTGATCAAACAAGCGCGTCCACAGAGTGATTCAGATGAAGGTCATCCAGGCCATGTTGAGGTCAGTATAAATTACTAGCCTCTGCAAGTATCCAACTGACAAATAGTTCAGTTCCAAAACCTCTCGATGGAGCGTGATTTGGAGTCTGGCAAGAACATGGTCACAGTCCCCAAAGGTGTTGGGCTATTTGACGACTCTTTGGTATGTTGCTTATCCTACTCTCTTGCATAACCTGACTTATCGATGCCAAAGACTGAGGACAATCTGGACGACATTGATCAGCTTCCCAATCTCCACTCTGACGACGAAGATTTGCAAATGGAACCATCTGCCTCTTCCTTAACACCAGCTGAAATGAGCGAACCCGATACTTCCATGGCCCCGGGAGTGGAATCTCCAACAGTTCAGCCGTTGCCGCTACCACCACCGCCACCGCCGCCACTGCCGCGGCTAGATAGCAGTGCTGCTTTCCCGGTTTTTTCAGACCCCCCTCCTTGGCGTTCTATCCCAAAAGAGAGCATCAAAGTCAAAAAACTCCGCATTTCACTCGCTTTCATTGAAGCTCTCGAAGGAGCTTCTCGACACAACAGTCAATTAACGGCTGATGACAATCTGCGGCTGTGGAACCCACCTCGCGAACTCCCTGATGTCAGCAACCCCGCAACGCGTCAAGCACTCAAGACGTTCATGGGTGCAGATGCTCCGATTACAGTGGAGACCTACAAAGCCATATGAGATGCAGCGATCGAACGCCACCCAGAGGATGCCTTCCCCTCATACTATGAAACCAAGAAGACACTGGCCGAGCTTACCGGTATCAGCCCCATCGAATGTGACATGTGCCTGAACAGCTGTGTCGCGTACACGGGCCCTTTTGCCCACCTCGACAAATGCCCGTATCCTAAGTGCGGAAAGCCTCGTTATGACAAGGCAAAGCTTGCGAAGGGAGTGCGGGAAGCATCCGCCAAGTTCTGTACAATTCCAATAGGCCCATATCTTCAGGGTCTATGGCGCCACCCAACGACAGCAGCAGAGATGAAATATTGTCGTAATTGTCAAAAAGCGTCGCCTGCCGAATGGAACAATATATTTGATGGGTCTGATTACGATACACTTGTGCGCGAAGGTGTTATTCGACCAACGGACATGGTGCTACTGTTTTCTATTGATGGTGCCCAGCTATACAAGCATAAGACATCCGATTGTTGGATCTATATATGGGTGATTTTAGATCTTCGACCAGGTCTTCGGTATAAGAAGAAGTTTGTCATTCCTGGTGGTTTTATACCTGGACCCCATGCACCAAAAAATGTCGACTCGTTTACTTTCGTTGGCTTTCACCACCTTGCTGTAATTCAACGTGAAGGCCTTCGATCTGAGACTCTTCAGCGGAGCCTGGCTCAGCTGAGGAGTTTTTTATTTCTTATGTTTATCTTCTGCTTTCGACAGCAGATGGTCCCGGTCAACAACATATGAGCGGTTCAAACGGGCATATGGCACGCATTGCCTGCCGGTTTTTCTGTGGGCTTCTTGGGCGTCATCGGTTCCAGGTGCCGCAGTATTATCCTGTCCTGCTTAAGCCCTTTGATTCGGCGTATGGAGACGATGAACACGCTGATGTAAATATTCTGCGAGACTTGCGGTCATCGCTCTCATCAGCAGAGTCAATTGCAGCATACCATTGGGCAATTGCTTATTTATTGGCTGCTCACACTCAACGTGAGTATAAAGCACGTCAAACACAGTGCGGATTTGGGAAACCAAGCCTTCTCTCCGGTCTACCCCGTTGTCTTGGCCCAGTTCGCGTCTTTCCAGCTGATTTAATGCATTATATTTTAAATATTGGTGACTTGCTTTCTGGCCTCTGGACCGGAAAATTAGATAAAGTATATCCTCCCGACAAAATTGAAAGCTGGCCGTGGCGTGTTCTTATTGGACAGATCTGGATTCTGCATGGTGCTGCCGTCGCTGCCACTCACCATTTCTTCCCTGACAGCTTTGATCGACTGCCCCGCAATCCACAGGAGAAGATTAACTCAGGATACAAGGCCAAGGAATGGCAACACTGGCTATTTGGTTTGGGTCCTGCGCTGCTCTATGGGCTTTTACCAATGCCATACTGGTTGAATTTCTGCAAGCTTGTCCATGTGATTCGTCTATTGCACCAACGCTCGATCTCAAAATCTGCACTTATCACCGCCTATACTCTTGTCCTCGAGTTCACATACGAATTTGAGACTCTATACTATCAACGCCGCAGTGATTGTCTTCATTTTATACGACATAGCATCCACACCCCAATGCATATGGTTCAAGAGGTCCAACGCGTTGGCAATCCTATCCTATATGCCCAGTGGACTCTCGAGCGTACTATTGGCAATCTTGGTGCCGAAATCCGTCAGCCAAATCAGATGTTCGCCAACCTGTCCCAACGTGGGCTTTACCGTGCGCAGACTAATGTGCTCAAAGCTATGGATCCTACCTTTGATCGTAGTAGTGGACTCAAAGCGACCAACCTCCCCACTGGCGCAATTGATATTGGCGAAGGCTACCAGCTTCGACCAAGGATTGATACAGCACTCCGCCCTATTGCCATTCCCGCCGAGCTCACTGCGTTGAAGCAATACCTGAGTAGTGCTTGGAATCTGCCATTTGACGAAAGCAAGCACAACTCATCAATTGTCCAATGTGCCCATCTCTTTCTTCCTGGAACCAACCAGATCGCTCGGTCTTACTGGGGAGAGAGCAATGAAAACCGCATCACGCGGATGGTACAGGTATGAAAAATTGCTCAACTTATGCTAACAAGACTTACAATTGTAGATTTGCTCTGATTTACCAGAGGGGTTCGAAATTGCAGAGGTTCTCTACTACTTTCAGTATGAAGTTCATGATGGCATCCCTGCAGCGTTGGCTATGGTTTCAGTCTTCGGAATTCCTGATCGAGCCTTGCTCCGGGAGTCATTCAATACACTCTGGGTTGCAAGACGGGGAGAGGCAGGTGTTCGCATCATACCAGCCAAGTCAATTCTCTCAGTTGTTGCTATGATTCTGTTCTCTTCTAACTGTGGTGTGTCAAGGGATGTTGAGCAGAAACTGGAGGGCTTTTATTTCTTGTATGAAAAAATGGGGCTAGGTAGTGAATAAATAGCGTGTTCAAGCAACAACTTGAAATAAGTAACAAAATGACTGTGACATGACAACTTCATTTTCCTCCGTCTTCCTTCGTCTCTGTCTCCTCGGTGCCCACCATGTACGCTGGCCATGGTGGGTCTGGCAACAGCTCCTTCTTCCATTACTCTTCCACTTCCTCCTCTTCTTCATCACCTGTTCCCTTTTCCGCACCATATGTAGCCCGGTCATGGCAAGGATCGAGCTCTACCGCATCTTCACAGTCCAGCCCATCTATCGACACACAGTCACTGGCTGGTGGGGATGACATGTCATCTCTATCCAGCCCTCTTGGCCAAAGCCTTCACAATTTCTCCACTTCAAGCCGCAGTGCATTTATGAGCAGTTCCCGGCTCTTATGCTTTTCTCTTCCTTGAAATATCTTACTCTGACACAAACTCTACAGTCCAGTCACAGAGGTAGCACCAGTGGTCTCTCTCTTGAGGGTGTCGCAAATCAAGTTGACACACTCTCTCGAACGGTTATTATATTCAAGGAAGATATTATGTGGGTTTTTACAACTAGCAATGCAGATATTGATGGCTTGCATAGGTCAAAACTCGATGTTCTTCTTACTGCTCAAGGCAGCGTTGGTCGCGTAACCCAAAAGAAGCTATTTGGATACACGATGGATATGTCTCATATGACCTTCTCCCACGAATCGCCCCGAGGTCCGCTCAACTCAACAATCTCAAGGCTTTACACCCAAACATCAAGTACTGGGAACCCAAGGATTTCAAACCAGATACGAGTGTTGCACCGAGGAAGAAGTCCGCTAGATCGGCTGGCAGCACCGATAAGAAGAACGATATCAACAACGATGGGAGATATATTGAATTTTCGGATGGAGAGATCATTGGGGGGGTTAGAATTTGGGGAAATCCGAGCGTTGCTGAATTTACTCTTTGCCGACATCCTTTCAGCAGGGAAGGCAAAGGCGCGGATGAATCTATTGGGAGAGCAGGTCATTGGGGCACTAGTTTACATGCTGGAGCGGTGTTTCCCCTACCTCGGCCTTTGTACCGGCCACTGGAAGGCACTTCGTGTTATCCGTGGCCGGTATCGCTTTTGGGCTGGCCCTCGTGTCAAGACGGGAGCCATTGTAGATGACGACGATGCTGGAGATGACGACGACGACGATGAAGGTGCTGCAGTAGGAACAAAGAGGAAACGTGTGGGCAACACATCGGCGCCCAAATGCACTCGAATGACAGGTAATTATTTGCCATGTTGAGCATTGTTTTTCGTACTAATTCCACTCCAGATCCATCAGCAGACCCTTCTCTTATTCAAATGCCCTTGCTGCCTAATGATAATGTCGACACCAGTCCTACTACCACACCATTGCAGTCATCACCACAGTTGCCTCCCGACCCGAATTCTCGGCCACCATCACCTGTACCATCACTCCCTCCAGCGGACACCACATCTCGTCCACCATCTCCTCCAGTGGTCGATATTTTGTCAGTCAGAGCAAACAATGCGGAACTGGCATAACTGACTTGTTTCTAGCTCAACTGTCAACGTACAGCCGCCTCCGCCTCCACCTTTTCATCCACCTCCACCCCCACCTCCACCTCCACCTCCCCCTTCGTCAACTCCCAATGTGCCGCCATCGCTTACCAACCCGCCACCACCATTGCTTGCGAATGTGCCGCCGCCAGTACCAAATATAGCTCCAATTATCACCATACCAAACAGTACTACGCGCGGAGGCCTAGCAAAGAAAGTCTGCAAGCCCAATCCGGCCCATTTGACTGCAAGGCATGTTTCTTTTATCTATTTCTTCTTGGAAACTTATGATATATAGAAATCTCTGTCTTGCTGTGTATGCTGAGGATGTCGGCGGCACTACACCGGAATTCGGCATATACTGGAAGGCTGCTGAAACGAACAATATAAATATGACCCAAGTGAGTTTACCATCTTCTGTTCTGAGCGCGAGCCTCCTTCGCTGACAAGTATGATTAGGCTTATGAAACCTACGCAAAGGAGCTGGTATGTTTCCTCCACTTTAGTACTCTATTCAAGGTTTTTAATCTTCATCTAGAAATCTTCCCATCCAAAACCGACACAGATTCCCCCGACAGATGTCATACGCAACCGTATTGCGACCATACTCGCGCTGGCGCTCACTCAGCCTGTGGGATAGCAGGTAGTCGGCCTTGGCCGGGCCCTTCTCGTCGTATTACAGATTGTCCATTTGTCACTAGTTGAATGCATCTCATTTGTTTCCAAAGCATCCAATCTCTTTGAAGCATAGAATAAAATGGATTGAAGAAATAACACAACAGATCTCAAAGCATTCCGAAACATGTTGATTGTTCACCGAGTGACACACCATTTGTAAATGTAATTGAATGGAATGGAACGAGAGAGAGCTCGTTGCATCTCAGTACATGTTGTACCATATCATAAACCAGTGTCATTGTATCTATGACATGGTATCGAAAGGTTTTGTTTGTGAACTGTCAGCAAATCCTCTTTCCATCTCACCCCATCCTTCCCGATTGCGCCGACTTTTCACTGGGGTTGATGTCTAATCGATCTAATCCTTGACATAGCTCTCGCACAAGTGATGGAATTGAAGCTTGAGAACGCCCAAGCGGGACATCTTCGGCGATGCCCTTTTATGCGACAGAAGAAGAGAAGAAGGCTGCTGCAAGGGAAGCCCCGACCACAGCAGAGAAGAAGGCCAACAAACGCAGCCGCGACGACGCCTCCAGCTCTGTGGCGGCTAATGATTCGGATGCTGAATCGTCGGGAACGGGAAGCAAGAAGTGGAAGCTCTTCCGAAACGTCGATAAATCACTCTCACAGTCAAAACTAAAGGTCTTTCGCGGCATCGATATCCCGTTCCATCACCAAATTAGTCCACTCCAGATAACCCCTTCGCTGATCAGAAAGCGGTCACAATCTCCTGAAAGCCTTTCCTCAAGTCTGCGACCGGTTTGTAAACGACCTGAAAATGCGTCTTAAGCCTTTCACCAACTCGAAACCCTGTGAGTATCGTATAGCTCTCCAAAATATTTGTGATTTTAACAACCTGTTGAAACTTCAATCCATCGGCAAACTTCCAAGCACGATGAAAAATGAAATGAGATTTGGATAGTAACTATAACGAAGGGATAGAATAAGTCGAAGACTATACGTGTCTAGCTGAACAGAGCAAAATGAAAGGTGATACTCAGGAGAAAAAGCAGTAATTTCGGAGGGCGTGCACGTCAACCCAGCACTTCTACACTGTCCGATGAAATGTTGATTACCTCTTTGGAGATGTCCACCGAGTCCATAGATATATCCCCCATCTCTGCATCCGACCCCAGGGCCTCGAGCGCATCCGAAACTGTCCGCATGAGATGGTTGAGCGAGGTAACACTGGTGCACGCCTTTCGACTTGCATCAGCCATCGCGTTTTCGGCATTGTGCAGTCGAAGTTGTGCGTCGGCGAGACTGTCCGTCAGGCGGTCATTGTCGTTTCGCAGTTTGGTGGCCTCCAAATTGGCGGTTTCCATGGCGTCGAAAAGATGGTTCGCAGTTCTTTGGAGGGACTGGACATAGGTTAAGCGTTATAACAAGCTCGGGAATTAACACAACTGCACCTTAACTTTATCAACCTTTGTAGACAAATCTTGCCGTGTCGTCTCGAGTTCGTTTTCCAATAGAGCTTGCCGTTCAAAAACAGCATCCAAGTTACGCTCCAGTCGGTCTACGTCTTGTTGAAGGTCCTTGTTCTCGCCCGTTTTGACCTCGAGCTCATATTCCAGCCCACCAAAGTCGAAAGCCAGAGCACTGTGCTTCTTGTCCAGTTCTTCAAACTGTGAAAGAAGCGCCTGGTACTTGGCTAACGCTACGTCCAAGGGAAGTTTAGATGAGCAAAACGAAAGAAGATTGACTGTGTACGAACGACCTCAGAGTCGTCGTCTGTTTCAACGGCTTCGCTGAGCAAAAAGTTAACCAAGAAAAGAGAATTAGTCGTCAGAGGCGTACAGGCGGGGAAATATAGAGTCAATGGGCAATCCAGAGAGCCCGAGGCTCGTTGTTTCCGTCTCTGGGGTGAATAGGCTGCCATGCTGGACTTGCTTGGACGTGTTGGGCATTGGAGATTCGAGATAAGTGGCCGCGCGGTTGTGAGAAATAAGGCGTCCGTGGTTTTTGAGGCCAGGGAATACTGCCGAGTCGAATAGGTCAGAGCTACTCTTGTCCATTCTGCGGGTGAGAGGAGGTAATGGTAGTTCGACGGTCGCAACAACGCACCGATTTTATAGCAACGGGCAGCAGAGAGATGCGGCACTGGCAAATGCGCGGGCATGAGAGCACTGCCAGGCCGGCATGAGCGCCTGTCAGCACTGAGGCAACCGAGGAACATGAAGGAGGAGTTCGGAGGAGTTCGTCAGTAGCAAAATGCTGTCACCGTGACAGTGGCGAGGATCATCGATCATCTTGGTGGTCACGACCGCAACAGCAGTAAGACTGCTCTTTCACGCTTGGCAACGCTACTGTAGTAACAAATACAGTTGCCTACATCGTACGAACATTTATCGTCAACAAAAGAATCAGCTTGCACTACAATTTCAAGAAATACAAAGTGGTTTATTCGTTGGCAAAACCAAGACTATGTCGAATTGCATCTTCTCCGAATAGTTCTTCTTCATCTTCACCTGCTTCATCGCTGCCGGATTCTGAACTTTCTGCACGCCAATCTGAATCGTCCTCTTCCTCATCATCAGCCACAACAATATCTCCTTCGCGATTGCTCTCGCTGGAATCCACCGTTGGCAGTGGGGCATTTTGTAGGTTGATGATTGACGGAATGGTGCTGTCGTCTTCGACCTGCACATCCACTTGGGCCCCAAGATTATTGTTGTGGTTGATGTCGCCCATAGCATCGAGATCGTCATTGGTTTGCGCCGCGTCCGTGGTATGCTGATGTAGAACTGGAACAATCTTCCGATGGCCAATAACATTATCGTGAAAACGCATCAACATGTCCCGGTCGGCGACGCTAGTCGGGAGGCTGAGCATGCAACAAATTCTTAGAAGAAGACCTACAGGTTCACGAAATGAAAGCGCCAATCATGATTTCCCTTTCGTCTACCTACCGATTTTGGGAGATACTCCTCAGTCCACCCATGGTTGAAAGCGGGAATAAGATGGACACCCCGTACGACATCTTGAGGATCAAGGAACCCAAATGCATTTGGGTTTTGATGAGGCATATAATGGAGGCGCGGAAAACGCTTCGCCTTGAAGCCGCAGGGGTAAGTGACGTCGCGTTGGAACCAGCGAACCCAGAGGAATTCGAGGCGTTTAGAGTTGCCCGGAAGATCGGCCAGCAACACATAGGCATGAAATATGCCCAAAATCTCGCCATACCAGTAACGATGGGGATCCACAGGATCGCGAGCATGGACCATGAAAAATCGTCGCGTCCGTGGATTGAGCTTGTCCTGGTCTCTTCGCACATCGTAGGTTGTATAGTTGACTTGCATGGTTGCGTGGGTGTAGAGCAATTCCTTTTCAATGACGACATTGATCAAATCCTGTTCAGTGAATTCGATTTCGTCAACGATTTCTGAATCCAAGTTTTGTAGACGGTGGCGGAAATGAGTTTTGAGTTTCCGAGTAAAATCCTACGCAGCAGATGAATGCAAGCATAATAGTGCTAGAGAACTCGCACTTGGAGAGCCGGATCGGGAGGAGTGGGATCGACCTCCTGCAGTAAATTTGATATGGTGACGCCAGAATGACAATTCATGCTTACCATACGATCTAACGGGGGCCCCTCGGTGTCGGAAGCAGACTCTTCATTCGATGTTTCAGAGCAGTCAGCTATATCTGAGAGGCGCCAATAGGTTCTTTTCGAGTCAGAAATATAGTGGTGTTGCTCGGGGGGGACGTAGATGTGCCCGGACAGGCTATGCGGCCCAGGACACAAGGCTGACGATAGCCGTTCACGACGATTCCTAACTCCACCTGACCTGGACACAAAGGATTCGTTTTCACGAACAGTAGATTGTCCGCTCCCTGTCTTCTCATTCGTTCTCTTCTCGAGCCTTTTGGAACGCTTCCGTCGTTCCCACATCGCACGCATTAAACGCCGGCGGTGTTCATGCTTGGCGATTTGATTCACATGGTCTCTTTTATTGGTTCGATTATATAGATGTTTAACGAAACGATGGGCAAGCTCCCCCTGCAAATCCAAGTCAGAACAAAAACAAAAACCGTGGACACATACAATTTGGGTCGAAGTTGAATCCGTCGTTCCAAAGCGCGCTATAAAATCGGGGTAGTCAGGTAATGAGTGGAGTTTATAGGTTATAAGGTTGAAAGATTTCTCCACCGACTGCTTGGCCTTTGATTTTTTTGCTGTTGTCCTTGATGTCGCTCCAGGCAGCTCTGAAAGTTGAGCGCGTAAACCGGACGGAATGGCACCTTGTGGGTGGGCTGGCGCTTGTTGTTTCCCTTTCGTTGGCTTTATTGCGATTGAAGGTGGCTCAGGAGGGCCTCCATTGGGATCCTGCGTAGGGGTAAGAACTTCTGATGGACGGAGTGGTGTAGCAGATGTTGTGGTGCTAGTAGCTTTGGCGACTTTTTTGACTCGTCGGCGCTCTTCACGAGGGAGCTCGTATGTTTTTACATTTGTTGTCTCTCGACTAAAACGTCGGATAGATGTGAGAAGATCCTTTGTGGCCGTACGAAAGAGTTCTATCGTTGTCGTAGTGTGCATTCGAAGCTTCGCGTATCCATGCCATATTGCAAGTTCGAAGAAGAGCTGATCCACCAACTTTTGGTGAAGGGGAAACAATCCATCAACGACAGGTAGAATACACTGTATGCCAGATTGTCAGCCAGATTAAGAGGCAAATGGAGATATTTGACCTGTAGGACGTCTTCAAAGTTTCTGGCTGCAGCATACTTCATGTCGGAGACATTATAGCTGAAGGCCCGTATCCCAGAACGACCAAATGTCTCGATTTGGCGGAATCTACACAAATCTTCAGTACTGGAGATATTTCCATTCCGAGTTACCGTGAATCAAATTCGTCGATCTTTTTGAAAGTCTGGAGCATCCGAATCACGTGGATGATAATTGCTTTCGCCACGCCCAATTCGACTTCATGTAAGAGGTCGGGAACGAACATAGCATAGAAGTTGAAAGGCGTTTTCTCTGTGTTTAGTTTAGAGAAAGCATTCTGAATCCGTAAACAAGGAGCGGAGGGTCTAAATGCGAGAAGCTTACTCGAACAGGAACCCAGGAGTTTGATTTGAGCATGTTGTCAATTGATGGTCCCCCAACAGCAAAACCATTGTCGAAAATGGCTCTGCGAGCATCCTCGATAGTTTGGCGCCGATGATGATCATCAACTCGGAGGACTTCACGCCGTTTCATGTCATAGACAGTTCCTGTTTCGCTAATCTGGGACTTCTCGATGAAACAACGAGGACAAGGTCGGCCTCCTAAGCTTCTGATAGTCGCGAGAAGGACCCTACGATTTTGATGAGCACAGAACACGGCAACATAGAAGGCGCACTTCTCGGGATAGTCAGCTCCGTAAATGAAGAACCGGGGGAAGACAAGACGGACAACGCCATCCCAGCATCGTATTTTGATTCCGTTGTCGTAGGCGTCAATAAAATCTTCGGAGAGTAAAAGGTCCCAGATTCGGTGCATGAGCTCTCGCTTGAGATGTCTATACACGTCGTCTGCCATGTCGCACCCATATTGTTCACGATATGCATCACGAATTGAGTCTGGAAACTACGGTGTGATGAGAGGAGAACGCAATGTGAAAGGTACAAAATATCCCACCGTTCCGAAGTAAGCTTGATGGAAACCGGCATTTGACGACGGTTTGCCTCGGAATCCTTTTGGATGGTTGCCGAAGAAAGTATAACCCGGCCAAAGTGAGGCTGCCCCAAACTGAGCAAGATGAGTAGCGTCCGACCACACCATGATAGCTACGATGATGCTTTCTACAGGTGACTCGGGAGACTCGGGCGGGGGCGGTTGGGGGATAGAGTGGTAGGCTTCTAGCATTGCTCTTGAGGTATATATCTCCCCAAAAACTTCTTCGTGGTTAGGAGGAAGTTGTGGGAGCCCGTGTTCGTTCAGAGTAGGTTGCGCATCATCAAGCAGAATGTCGCCCGATGCAAAGTCAAATGTTGGGTCGTATCTGAGGGAGAACGGGGTAGTGTGAAAAGTTTGAAATAGTGGTCCCTGGAGAACTTCTCTGATGGTATCGAGGAGAGGCCGATAGTAGATGTTCGTGACGGTAAATTGTGGGGCATCAATTTCTTTCTGGTGTCGGCCAACACAAGGCAGTTTGAGCATTACGCTGCCCTGAATCCATTTGTCGTTCACGCCCAGTGGCTCAATCCCTTTCTTGTCTAGGTCGTCCAAGAATTTTTTGGTCGAAAAGGGAATGGGGATATCGCCCAAATTAAAGCCGTCAGATTGCGTTTCTTCATTTGGCTGAAGTACATGCTGGACTAGCCGATCAAAACCCCCGATAGAGCCCGAGCTTTCCTCTTCGATGTGGTATTTCATCAAATGAGCGATAGTAGCATTCGGGAAAGGATATGCCAGGCTGCTTGGGGAGGGGGAAGACTATCTGAGCCGCATTGTGTCGAGTTTGCCGTCTGGGTCATGCGTGGGACGTCGGGGATACATTTTATAGAGCCCAAAGTTGTTTGTTTCCGTTCGAATGTATCCTGGAGGTTCAGCTTCAGGGATTGGCTCTGGCGAGGGCTCGGCTTCTGGAGGTCGCGGTACCGGGAAGTCTGTTCCTGCTCGACGTCTGATTCGCGGCAGAGGCGCTGGAGCAGCGTCCTGTAGCTTAGCAGGGATTCGACGCTTGCGGTTCGGCAGACCACTAGGACGATATTGTGGAGGCTCCGGAATCTCGACCATCTCTGCCTGCATGATTTTAGCGAGAGAAAATGACATGTTAAGGATAAACTCACTTGAAGTTGGATGGGTAATTGAGGAGGAGGAGAAGGAGCTCGCGCTGCGTTGGCCAAATGTTGTCGAACATGAGCTACGGACTGCAGATGTAATGCCTTGAAGCCTGGGCATGTGCGATCGTGAACTCGTTTTGCTTCAGCGAGATTGCGGAGAGGTTTATTGCAAAGATCGCATTTGTGTTGCCCCTTCGGCATCTCAGAGGGAGTGTCTGGCAAATTGGTTGCCTAGTCAGGCAGAAAGTGCCATCTCGATCAATGACCGCGAGGTCAGGCTAGGAAACTCGACGTAGAAGGTTCAAGTGAAGATGTGAAGACAAACGTGGCAAGTGCTCCTTCAAGGTTTGTCTGAGGCTGTTCTTTTAGTAATCATCGTCACGGATGTGACTATTAAAGCTACGTTGCGCACGACTACCACTAGCAAAATCTCATCCCTGACCTATGTCTCACCAGTTCAATCAAGGTACGTCTCCTGCACCGTCCGGTGCTCTAGTTGATAGTTGAAGCCGTTGCAGAGTCCGGTGACATCGTTGACCCCCGTTGGGAGGAGTTCCGCCTGGAGAGGAAAATATACCAGGAGGACTTGAGCGACCTGCGGACTGACAATGAGGCCCTGAAACTGAAGAACATGGGTCTTGAATTAGTGAAAGACCAGACGACCCAGCATTTGAACGGCGCCATACAAACTGGATTCGTCCTACACTGCCAGCTGTCAGAGAACCGACTCAAGTTGGCCTCTTGTCAGAAAGAACTCCTCCACCAGAACTTCTGCATTTCGGTCCGTTTCCTTTTCTTTCTCTTCACATCGTGGTCAACGATCTTACAGGTGCTTACATTGACGAGTGTCTTTCTGTATCTTTCCCGAAAGGAGGCTATGAATCTCATCACTGATTTGAACCACGAAATCGGCGACTTGCGCAGTCAAATCTCCCAGTATGAACAAGTCTTGGGAACGGGTGAACGTCCTACTTCTCATAATCAGTTGGATTCCACCTAATTCAAACTGCGTGTATGTACATTGTACCTGTAACCTTAATGTTTTCTTATCCTTTGGCGTTTAAAATCGGAGGGAAGCGTTGTGTGTTGTCAATATGAGTCATCGCTTCCTCTCAACCACCAAGAACGAATGGTTTGAGGGCTGCCTGGAGAGACGACAAGGCCCTTCGCGAACTTGAATACCAGCGTCATGGTGATTGCACCGGGCCGCTTTTGACCATCTGCTTTCAAGTCGCAACGTTCAAGTTATCGAGTATATTCAGACGTCTGGCAAGCCCACTGGCAAGAAGAACCTGAACCAATGAATCTCCTGAGTCCTGCTTACCACCGACGAGCTGCTTTTGCAATGCGAATCTCCAGAAACTCTCAGGCTCTTGTTTAGACAGTGGAATCACCAGCCTGAGCTTGAACATCGACATCGCTTTGCTCACATCACTTCGTCTCAACCCGTTCAACACGCTATCGGGGTTGGCTTAGTATTATCGATGACGTCCAACCATCCTTGTCCGTCAATAGTGCGGAAAACTTCGTCAACAGCAGCGCCAGAACGTTGGAAAAAAGATCAAGGTCATGATGTCTAGGGCTTACGGTTTCCGAATTGACTCGGAAATGATGCGACAGTTCTGCCAGTGCCAGTGTTTTTGACGAGAACGGCTTTCAAGTTGGAGGTCTGTGTTGCTGGTCCCGGTGCCCTCTTTGCAAATCTCGAATATCGTATGCAACATCTACTTACGAACACGCATTTGAGTTGTTCTCGCCCAGCAGCGCTCCGTAACATGCATCCACAAGGTAAGAAGCCGTCCGCTCAGAGCCAACATACCATAGCATCCTCATCTAATGCATTCTGTGGAGCGACTTGTTCCATGATGTCATCTTCCTGCTCAGCGCGACCACAAATACTATCCATTGATAGGACTAGTTACAATGCGATGCGACGGACAACTTGAAGGACGCCAAGCTTCAGGCTCTCAAGGAGGGTAAGAAGCACAATAGCGGTAGCTTCAACTTGACGTTCCTGTATTTTTTTTTGCAAGCAGATAAGTTTCGACCCTTGTCTCCGCACCACCGTGACAGCGGTAACTTGAATTGATGACCCACGTTCTTAATCGAGTTTAAACTGGTGTTTACTCAAGTCTAATTGGAGGTGAGCCTAGCGTTACGCAACGCAATCGCTTTCTCACCCACATTCCCCACCTTCTCGACAGGTCGTAAGCGGGAATGGCGAGCAAGAACCCGAGCTGCTGGGTTGCATCTTGCTCGTGCGGGTACGTGATCCGCTTTCACGCAGCGCCGTGAATCCTGACAAGCTTGGTCAGCCCGCTTAGAGCAAAGACAATGCAGCAGCGCATTACTTTGTCTCCCGCTCCCTATAAGCTACCTGGCGACGACGGAGAGGACATCAGCACCTCACTCTGTCTCGCCAGGTATGCAAGCATTGCTTTTTGTACTTACTTACTCACTCTGTCTCGCCAGCTGTACTTTGCGCTCTCTAAATAAACCAACTTTATTCCATCTATCTCTCATATGACCGATCATGCACAACGACCATATGCCCTTACGCCCCAGCAGCAGGCATCTGTTGATGCCTGGGTTAAGTCCTACGAGGAGGGAAGAGCCGACCGCACAGAGGTCACTTACCAACTCACCATTCTGCTCAACAATGCCTGTGTTGAGCAAAATGTCCTATTCACGTCAGCAATACTCCGACCCTCCTTGGAACAACTGGACGCGATCGATAACCAACGAAGGGTCGTGCCAGATGATCTCGACAACTCCGGTGGAGGTCTCGGTGTCCGCCGTCGAGAACAGTTTGGCGAGGAAGAGCCGGCGCCTAAGCGTCAAAGAGTCGACTATGCAGCTTTCTTCAGGCCGACCGGCGCGACCGAAGAGTTCCTTGACTCCATCTTACCAGCCAAGGTCCTTCTTGTATCCGCGAGAGTCCAAGTCTACTCGGAGGACATCAAGGAGGCCGTTCGCCACGCTCACACCTCCCCTTGGATGCCGAGTTTCCCGCCTAACCTCTGGAAGCAAGTACTCCTTGACCAATACGTCGACTTCGACCACATTCGCGCCAACACCTATGCGACTGAGCCAGAGAGACCAGTCGAGTTGGTTCTCGGCGAAACCGGCTTCGATGTTCAGGTTCGGAAACCTAAAGTGGTCTCCACCATCGCCACTGCTGGCCAATGGAATACAGCCTTCTGGATCTATTCGGAGGCAGTCAACAGCGCTTTCCAAGGACGAGCAGCAGAACTCCAAACCTATCATCGTCTTATCAACGCAGCCTTCGCGAGTACTCATTAAGCCTACCACAATCGTGTCCTCAAGTACGATCGTGCCCTCCGTGTCTACATTGGCCAGACCCGACGGCTGCTGCTCGATGACGCTGGGACCCTCCACGAGATCAGACATGCGCACCTGGCCGAAACTGGACTCTACGTTGCGCAAACGATCGAGAGGCACCAGCCCAGTGCGCGTGATCGCTCGTCCAGCAGTCAGCGACGGAGAGGCGGACCTGTTGAGATCTGCAAAAACTTCAACCGAAAGCGTTGCAGCCTTGCCCACTGTCGCTACCGCCATGCCTGCCTCGAGTGCCACGGGAATCATCCAGCCGAAGAGTGCCCAGACAAGCTTAACCGGCGTGCCTAGGAACCACGATACACTCCTGCATCGTTTTGCACTGGAGCAGTTGGGAGATGACGAGGAAGTAGTGGCCTGCTACCTCCCGCAATTTATGCGAGGAATGGGATGGAGAGAATTCGAGCAAGTGTCATATAGCCGAACCGCTCGATATACCGAGACCGATGAACCACTTCCTCGCCCATCTTCGCATGAGTTCTCCAATGCATCGGCCATGCGCACCATCTTGGAGAACCCCGAATTATTTCAAGTTCCCCAAGTTATACGGGTTGACCGCCTCGAAGCCTTGCTGGGCCGCCACCCCAATCAACTGTTCGTTCGCTCAGTATTGACTGGCCTCCGCGAGGGTTTCTGGCCTTGGATTGACACGCACTATGATTCCGGTTACCCGTCCACTTGGGACAATTCTTGGGCTCCACCACCGTCTGAACGCGAACGGGACTTCATTGCAAGTCAGCGCGACCTTGAGGTTGCAAAGGGTCGGTTTTCACACACCTTTGGTCCAGACCTGCTCCCCGGCATGTACAGCACCCCAATATTTGCGGTCCCAAAACCTCATAGCGAAGATCTCCGTCTAGTCTCGCACCAGAGCGCTGGTCCGTTCGCGCCAAACACGATGGTTGACAAACTGCAAACCAAAGGTCCACGGATGGACACGATGCAGCAGTTTATCCCCGCATTGCTTCGCTTCCGTCGCCAAGAGCCTCATGCGCATATTGTGCTTTTCAAGTCCGATGTTTCTGAAGCCTTCCGACTCATACCCTTGCACCCACTTATGCAGATCAAGCAAGTGGCGACGAGCAACTTCCCAACCAAGGCTGAGGTTCTGTCTGGGAAAGACAATGGTGCGCTTCAGCGCAATGTTGACTGGTGTTGCACGTTTGGGAGTTGTGGGTCACCGAGGATATGGTCGTCCGTTATGGGTCTTGTGATCTGGATTGCCATATTCGTCAAGTCCATTGTAGACTTGTTCTGCTATGTTGACGATGCTTATGGGTGGGAATACAGCGACAATTTCCTCTATTATGAGCCCTACCATAAGTCTATGCCTGCCAAACAGGTCAAACTCCTCCGACTTTGGGATCTTCTCGGAATCCCTCACAAGGAGAAGAAACAGCTCCACGGCACTTCGCTGACCATCATAGGTTTCGAGATCGATCCGAACGCAATGACTATGACATTGCCGCCCTCCGCGAAAGCCGATCTCATCGCCGCCGTTCTCGATTTCGTTGCATCTCCGTCTCGTCGCCGCACACTTCACGAATTTCAATGCCTTGCTGGGTGGATTAACTGGTCCTTCAACATGTTCTTCTTACTTCGACCTGCTCTCTCAAATATGTACGACAAGATGTCGGGGAAGTCCAACGCGCATGCACAAATTTATATCAACAAGGCTATCAAGTCCGACCTCACATGGTTCGTAAATCACCTCGAGCGATCTAATGGCACCCTGCTGCTTGATGCATTAGATTGGAACCCACACACGGAAGCCTTTGCCACCATGTACTGCGACGCATCCCTCGGCGGCATGGGTTTTTGGTTACCTGAGCACATGCTAGGTTTCCACGCACCTGTTCCGAGCGAGACCCCCAGCAACATCATCTTCTACTATGAAGCACTATGTGTTGCTTGCGCCTTGAACTGGCACTGTCGCAACGTTCTCATACACACGTCTTGCGTAACACGATACCGCATCACTATTTTCACTGACAACGCTAATACTGTTAGCATCTTTAGCACACTGCGCGCAACACCGGCGTACAACTTGAACACCATCTTACGCAGCTCAGTAGATAACCTCTTAAGGTTCAATGTCGACCTGCGCGTGTTGCACGTCCCCGGTGAACTCAATTCTGTAGCCGACGCTCTCTCCCGCGGCCGTCTCGACGTTGCTCGAGGATTGGCTCCGGGGCTCATTATCAACAAATTTATACCCCCACAAGAGGCGCTGGGGGCCCCCGGGCAATGATTACATCCACTATCCCGTCCAGGCAACCCGTTCGGGAAGCCTGGACACACGAGCGATTTGAACGCGAACTCGCTGTCGCTCTCAACGCCTCAATCGACATCTCATCCGCCCATACCTACGGATCGGCACTCAACTCTTGGATCGAATTTTGCCGCATCAACAAGTTTTCAACGGAACCCACCGAAAAAACCCTGGCCTACTTTGTGGTCTATCGCTCGACGCACATCAACCCCAACTCTGTCGACTCATATCTATCAGGTATCTGCAATCAGCTTGAAGCTGTTTTCCCCCAAGTTCGTGCGATGCGTAGAAGTGTTCTCGTGTCTCGCGCCTTGAAAGGGTGCAAACGTATCCATGGTCAGCCTGTTAGAAGAAAAAACCCTTTGACCCTCGGACATCTACGTAAAGCTATAGACAGCTTACACAGCATGCCCACCCACGACGATCTCCTCTTCCTCGCCATCCTCCTCTCCGGTTTCCACGCGCTTCATCGTCTTGGCGAAATGACCATGCCCGACAACCCCAGACTCCGCAATCCTCGCAAATACACGAAACGCGAATCCGTCACGCTAAATGCAGAGAGTTACGAGTACTGGCTCCCGGCTCACAAAGCAGATATTGCCTTTGAAGGTAACCGCATCATAATCGCAGACCAAGCTGCCCTGAAGTATTTTCTGCTGTATCTCAACTCTCGAGACCGACTGCTGCCTTTCAACCCTTATCTTTGGGCTCGGGAAAACGGCCAGGTACCGCCACGGGCCTGGTTTATCAAACGCCTAAAACACTTGTTTCCCGACCCCAACATTGCCGGGCAGTCTCTCCGAGCAGGTGGAGCTACCCACCTTGCAGAAGATGGTGCACTTCCCCACATCATCCAAGCAGCCGGGCGCTGGTCATCTGAGGCTTTCCAAGTCTACTTGCGCAAACATCCGATGGTCCTTCACGCACTCTTACGCGCCGGCGGCAGCGGTATCCGGCCCTCATCATCATCTTAAATCTCTCTTCATTACCCTCCATTACCCATATCGGCTCCTCCATACCGCTCGCCGTCTGCCAATCCATCACGTAGTCTCGGGGCAGCGCCCCCGGGACTGACTTCTGACTAAACCCATCATTCGCGATCCAACGAACGACGACAATTAGTCGAGTTTAAACTGGTGTTTACTCAAGTCTAATTGGAGGTGAGCCTAGCGTTACGCAACGCAATCGCTTTCTCACCCACATTCCCCACCTTCTCGACAGGTCGTAAGCGGGAATGGCGAGCAAGAACCCGAGCTGCTGGGTTGCATCTTGCTCGTGCGGGTACGTGATCCGCTTTCACGCAGCGCCGTGAATCCTGACAAGCTTGGTCAGCCCGCTTAGAGCAAAGACAATGCAGCAGCGCATTACTTTGTCTCCCGCTCCCTATAAGCTACCTGGCGACGACGGAGAGGACATCAGCACCTCACTCTGTCTCGCCAGGTATGCAAGCATTGCTTTTTGTACTTACTTACTCACTCTGTCTCGCCAGCTGTACTTTGCGCTCCCACCCCGTTTCACTCCACACCCTCTTTCTTTTCATATATAATCACCTTAGTTATATACTCTCATGTAAACCCCATATCGGCTCCTCCATACCGCTCGCCGTCTGCCAATCCATCACGTAGTCTCGGGGCAGCGCCCCCGGGACTGACTTCTGACTAAACCCATCATTCGCGATCCAACGAACGACGACAATTAGTGCTCTCTCCGGTATATCAACGGCGTCAGAAGAGACAATGTTTATTACTAGTAGTAGTACTGTATCAGCTCGGCCTTTGGCCCTTTCAGACTTGAAGCTTGATATCTGACTAAGCAAACTAGTGTCACTGTGACACTGCCACGCGGCGTTTCCCTCTGAGCCGCCAGCACCCTCCGAGTCTGTGCGCTCCGAGTCCGAGTCAGCGCCTGGCGGCAATATCATCCGAGTCGCATGCAGGGAAGAACGAAAGGCCCCGAAATGCCTTAGTTGTGTGTGCCGTCCGTCTAACCCATCGAGCAATTACCATTCGTTGCAGTGCTGCTTTACTCAATATGATGCGACCCTCATATTTCCCTGCATCAACAGTCCTAAATCGTTCGTGCCAGCACTTGCGAACCGCCACCGTCGCACGGGCCGAAACGGCCACACTGCAAAATAACCTTTTCCTGTCATCCGTTCTGGTGAAGCGACGTCGTCAAGGCAAGTCTGCATTTTGTTCCAGCCAACGAGGCCGCACCTAATCTTCCCTCACTTTCCTTTTTCAAGGCCGCACACTGGCCTGGCGGGCATGCCAGCGCTCAGGGTTTAAAAGTCCGGTCTCGCCAAGATTCTCTCTTCTTCCTCCCTTGACACGCTTTCAACGCTCGCCGATGAACTCTGAAAACAACAACAACAACAACAACTTGAACCCAAATGCTGGATGGACTCCGCAGCGCCAAGGTGCGTTTATCAAGCTATCGATTGACGCGTTCCCTGATTTGTTTTACCTCAGTGGATAGCTCCCTTGCCAGTGCGCTTCAGCAAGAGCTACAGGAGGAAAACCCGCAACTGCAAGAGTTCATATCCATGGTAACTTCGACCCCCGTGCGTCTCCAAAACTCTCCATCGTCGTCGAACGAATTACTTAACTACTTCAGGGTTTCTCCGATGCTCAACACGGCCAACCTGCTCAAATGACCATCCCACAGCTCTACGCGGCTTTCGCGAAAGTTTTGTTCGAGCATGGTGGGCCACAGATCGTGCCTCCCACCTTTCCTTTGCCGAACGTCCAATATGCTGGGCCCCAGCATCCTGGGCCTGTGTCTGTCATGGCGCAGCCGCTTCCCGCTTTCATCATGCCGAACGACCAATTTGGCGGCCCTCAACCGCTTCCTCCGCAGAGCCAGTTGGCCAACAATTTCCATCCTATCCCGCGGTCGTCCAGCCAGAGTAACATCGCTCACCAAGCAAACAATCTCCCAGCTTCTCCCTTTCCCAACGAACTTGAAACCTGGAACCACTTCACCAGAATTCCGTCTCCGGTTGAATTGGGTCCCCGCGATTCCGCGTCGCAGTTGTCTTTTTTGTCTGACCCATCTCCCTCGGCTTCTCAAATCGGTCTATCCCAGTCGGCCTCTCAATTCCGGGCCTTCCAAATGGCTCCAGCCCCCGCATCGCAGTTGTCTCTTCTGTCTGACCCCTCTCCCTCGGCTTCTCGAAACGGTCCATCCAACTCGGCTTCTCAAACGGGTCCATCGCGCTCGCGCCCTCAAAAAATGGGGGCCTCACAAATGGCGCCAACCCGCTCAGGCTCCCACATCCGTCCATCGCGCTCAGAAATGGGCCCATCGCACTCAGCCTCTCAAATGGGCTCGTCAACCTCTCGAATGCGTCCATCCCACTCAACATCGCAATTGGGTCCTGTCCGCACAACGACTTCGATCTCCGACAATCGCCAGGCTGTCCACGCAAATATATCGTATCCTCCCGCCAATCCCTCATTCGAAGTTTCGATGAAGATTCCAGTTGGGACGGAGCAGGGGTTACTCGCGATAGGCACGTCGATGATGATGAATCAGGATTATGTCGCGAATGCTCAGGCGGCGGCGGCGGCGACGACAACGCACATCTCGGACGCAGCCACAAGCGCGCTCGAGCGGGAAAAGCCGTTGCTTTATGCAGTACAGTCAACTGCCCGCGGATTCCTTCTCCCCGGTATCGCCAACTTCGACATGTATCCCCCCCCGGATAACAACTTCAAGCGAATGGACGATGCATTCTTTCGTGCGTACGTCATTCATGGACGGAACATCGAAAAAAGTGGGCCTTTGACAACGGATTTTGACGCTTACTCATATCATCGCAGACAGCTGGGAAGAAAGGGGACACGAATGCAAACTCATCGTACGCATTCATATTTTCTTTCGCAGCAAGCAACTAACCATTATCAACAAGGTGGCCAATGCCGAGTACAAGCTCAAGACCGATACACTTGATGACGCCAAGATGATCATCCAACACATGCTTATTCCCAAGTTTCCCTCGAACGCTGTCCACGCTCACACACTCAAGCCCTACACCAAAGAGGAGCGAGAGCAATTCAATCCAAAGCTCAGCCCTGCTCCCTGGAACCCCTTCACACACCAGCCTTACACGGCGGAGGAGTGGTCTACGGAGCAGAAAAAAGCCGTCAAAGCAATGTTGGCCGACGACAGTTTCGTCCACAACACTGACACCGTGAGCGCTTTACATTTCGCTCCGAGCCCGTTAACATTTTTCACCCAGGGGACGCGTAGCGACACCAACACTCGCTGCGCCCATCCGGCGGTTGCCACACTGGTCTGTCTCATCTCCCAGCGCAAGAATGTCGGCCTGGCTCCGAGTCCCTATTTCATTCCACCCCCCATGCTCGCTATGGCAATAACTATGGTATGTTTCTCGTGTTTTCCTCGTTCATCTCTGAACCATTGTTAGCTTCGTCGAGCCCTGTATGAATTCGCCTATGGAAAAAAAGAATCCCGAGCAACCCGGATTGTAAGCGCTCGTTATTCAATATGTCTTCCATGCCAACTCCTTCCTCAGGCCTACTACCATCGCACGATAGTCACCATTATGAATCTTCTCACACGCAAATCGGCCGATAGCTTCTTCTTTGTGCGTTACTTGTACGACCTTGCTGTCAAGACAGGGTACAGTTTATCTATTCCATCTACTTCTGTCACTTGCTGATTATACTTGCAAGGCAAATGCCTCGGGCTACGATACTCCAGGGAAACGTGGCCCCTTTTGACTGGCACCTCAGTGACGATTGAATGGGCGCGGGTGGTGTTTTGTCAACAATGCAGTTACCTCTAGAATTTTCTCTACCAATGTCTGTTCTTCGTTCTACAATCTGACGTCTTGGCATGCTCTCTTTTTTGTGAAGCCGTGACCCTCACATCGTCACGCGTCATCGTCATGTCGTCACGCGTCATGTGCGCCATTCATCGTCACGCGTCATGTGCGCCTGCGTCTGACGATGATGTGGCGCGCACTCAGGCTTGCGGCCGTGCGATGCGGGCGACAGCATAAAGCTCAGGCTAGCTTGCCAACACATCACCTACTCTTTCTTTCTCTTCACCCTCGCCATTATCGACTCTCCTTCACCCGAATGACCGACAGCATGAACTTGGCGCTCCTGGCGGAGGCAGCCACCGGCCCAGGCAACTCACCTTCTCTTTCTGGCGAACAACGGCGCTTTGTGAACGACGTCATCATCAATCTAGGCTTCCTCGCCAGTGAGCCATCGCCACCGACATCGAGAAAGAGGCGGGCACCACCGCGCAATGCGTCATTTTATAACTTGCTTCAAATTCTCCCAATGCTGACATTTATCTTCAGATCCAACCGCGGAGCCTTCCAGCAAATCATCGATGCAGCTAAGTTTACCCCTCGGGGAGAGCCGACGCATTCTGGGATATGAGGAGGGTTATGGAGTACGGCTGCCTCCGGTCGTTCGAAGAAGCTGGTGCTGAGCGTCTAATGGCTGTGCCTTCGAGGTTAATTTCGTTTCAAAACTTTCAGACTTGCTAATCTGTTCCCCCTAGTGAGCTGGCCGAACACCACGCCCGTGTTTTCTCCAGGATTTTCGCCACCTGTCGCTTTGACGTTCTCCCTGTCCTCCAATACCTCTATTTTGATTCCAAGACAAACCCGGGACCATGGAATGCCCTTGGAGCTCGGGCGAGTACATCAATTGGGTTCTTTTCTCTGGCTCATCTCTTTTTCATAGCTCGCGAAGGCTGCACATGACGCACGAACTCAAGACACGAATACTTTCAAGAATAATCTCCGCATTTTACTGCCCGTCCACAATTCTGACTTCTTCTATCCCCCCATCGAAGTCGGACTAAGCAAATCACGGCGGGGTTTGGCCCATCCACAACTTCGCATGCTGATCATGCCATGGAAGGATCGCATTCATTTTCCCGCTCTCGTCTATGGCCAACCTACGTTGTAAGCAGTCTCTTCTTCTGCACACTTCTTTCTCAAGTGCTATAGGTCACCGGTTCCTCTCTCGTAAATTTTCCTCCTCTCTTTCGTGCAGTTTCGCTCAAACCATTTCAGAACCGAAGCCCAAATGTATCTCTGCTGGTGTTTCTAGCAAACACATGACGCTCGGTATCCCTCGTCTAGAGGAAATTATCAATGACGCCTTCTCACTGTCTACCTCCAACCGCATCTCTCGGTCAACCGCAATCTTGCGTTGACTGTCGCTCACGAACGTCCTTGCGAACCATCGATCCCGGCTCGACAATCATTGAGGAGGTCGAGTTCAAGTTACATTTACTGTCTCCATGGATCCTTCGTCCTGAATTAAACCTCAATAAGATGGTCGGCAAACTCATAATGCAACATATCGCGAGGAAGCTTCAAGACGGATCTGTTCGCCATCTGGATAAACGGCCCGGGTGTGAAGGGCATTCGTCAAGTGTTTTTGGTTGAGCACGACAAGGTCGTGACAGAGGACGACGGCGAGATTGCTCTTCTCAAATGAGAGGCATGGCTTTTGGAGACCGCCCTCAAGAAGAGAATCCCTGCATCAAAAACTAAAATCAGTCACGTGGACCGGTCCGCAGGACTCCGCTCGCGCAGCGAGCGATTCTCGAAAGAACGTCGGGGTACGAGACTAAGAGCGGCGCCGATTTACCGATGACTCGTCAGAATGCATCACCCTCTTCCATCAACTCTCCCATCAACTAACACAACCATATAAATGGGTGCGTCCGCCGGGCGTCAGGGTCGCCACAAACCGTGCACCTCAGAGTCCGCGCTCGGTTTATAAGCCCTTAACGTGGGTGAAGCTTTGAAGGACCAACGCTGCTTGTCACTACCATTTTTCCTCGCTTCAGTTTGAAGTGCGTCTCGATAGTGCATCATCAATGACCACTGCTGACCCTGGCGCCCAGCTCGTTATAATCCGTAATTCTCTCCAAACCCCGCTATGGAAGCTCCAATGTCCGACCTCAGCCCCCGCTCTCTTACATTCACATTCACACTCATTCACGGTAACGAAGCCGACGACTTGTACTCTAGCTTTCTCAAACGTACTATGGAGTCGAGAAGACGCGTTAATTTGGAAGAAACCGACCCGCCTATGAACGACCACAGAACCTTGGTGCTTGGTTTCGATGGGACTGGTGATCAGTTTGACGACGATGTGCGTTAACTTGACCCACTCTTTCAACGCGGTGCTGACTGAAGGACGAATTAGAACTCCAATGTGGTCAATGTCTTTTCCCTTCTCAAGAAATACGACCCCAGCAAACAGCTTGTGGACCATCAGGTACCGGCACAAATTATATCCACGAATCGCTGTTTGACTACAATATTCCCTAAGTTACTCGTCCCTGGATGGCCAAACTTCATCGCGCGGTCCATGCGATGTTGGGAAGCCACCTCAACTCACATGTTATGGCGGGCTACGAGTTCTTGATGCAGAATTGTGCGTTCTTGTCCCTATCAACGTCGGTAACTGACCTGGCAGATGGATGAGCACGGAGACAAGATTTGTATGTTTAAGTTTTCTCGCGGCGCCTACGTATGTCCTCCCACGGCAAGACACTCCGTTTTCCTGATTATTTTAGACTGTGGGCGCTTACCGGAATGTACGTGGTCTTTTTTCGGCACTCTGCTGATATTCAATCATCTTCGTAGACTGCACCAAGTCAGTCCTAGCTCTGCTAACCCGAAGTGCCCGTCTAACCATCGACAGATCGGTCTGCTACCCAAATGCAACCACCAGCAAGTTCCCTTCGCCTACAACCCGCAGGAGAAAAGTGATGCCCGACTCGTCCTGGTTGATCGATATCGAGTCGTGCAGTTTGTGTTGTTGCCCCGTAAACTTGGTAGTCTTCAGGTAATCACAGGCGGTTTTCGCGTTTCCTTTACTTATATTCCGACTCAGGCTTGACAAAATGATAAATCTCTGAATTTCGGTGTCACGCGACGTGACAGTCACATGTACAGCAAATTCGTGACTGTGACGGTGACTGCCTCTCTCTCTCCCTGCTTTGTGAGCACGATGCCAACTCAGACAGATTACTGGCTTATCTTCTACAGTGCATGTACATACACTTCCCCAGACCTGCTGCACCTGTCCTAGTGATAGCACCGAATTCTAACTCTGAAACAAACTCTCTGATTTCCCCATCTGGTTGCTCAGAAAAATATGCTCTGTGCTATTTGCTCCTGGAGCTTTCCTTCTCAGATTGTCCAGAAAGCATCTCTTTCTTTCTGGTGAGCTACCAATCCAAACAGTGTGTTTTAACTGACTATCTTCTACAGTACATGTCCACACAGTTCCCCAGAGGGTATGCAGAGGGATGCCCTGCTGTAAATTGTGTTAGTGGTAGCAATCAATTGTAACCTTCGAACACGCTCTCCGATTTCCCGCTACTCCATCTTGTCCAGAAAACATCTCTCTCTGTCTGGTGAGCTACCAATCCAAACAGTGTGCGTTTTAACTGACTATCTTCTACAGTACATGTCCACACAGTTCCCCAGAGGGTATGCAGAGGGATGCCCTGCTGTAAATTGTGTTAGTGGTAGCAATCAATTGTAACCTTCGAACACGCTCTCCGATTTCCCGCTACTCCATCTTGTCCAGAAAACATCTCTCTCTGTCTGGTGAGCTACCAATCCAAACAGTGTGTGTTTTAACTGACTATTTTCTACAGTACATGTCCACACAGTTCCCCAGAGGGTATGCAGAGGGATGCCCTGCTGTACTTTGTGTTAGTGGTAGCAATTCATTGTAACCTTCGAACACGCTCTCCGATTTCCCGCCATCTCATCAATTTCGTGATTGAGAAAGATCTACTCTACACTCATGCAACTGGGCAGTTGAACTACATGACTTACGATCTTTGGCGAGACCAAGATCTATTGAACCGGACGCGAAGGTTTGTTCTTGTTCATGCCCAAGATCATGTCGACCCTCATCGTTACTGGTATGGGCATATTCCATGCCTATGTGTCCCTGACGGATGGGGCCGCAAAACCGAACCGCCTCGAATCCTCAAAACATCGTTCGGGGCTGCCATTTGATTCCTGCATTATAACACGGTCGGACTGACGCCTATCTGCCCAAGTTTATTGCTCGACGTGAAGGTTTGGATGATGACTGGCAATCCTACTATAAATATGTGCGTTGATCATCGACACAACATATTTGTACGTGGTCTGGTCTATGTTCCTCATTACCACTGAGATCTCATCTAGTGTGTAACTTGTTTGTAGTAGTCCCAAAGCAAGATAGTCACCGTCACTCGCCATCGTCACCGCCCTGCCCGCCATCGATGTCAACTCACATCCACTCCCTCACCCTACGGACCACTTGGCCAGCACACTCCCAAGACGGTTCGGGCGCTGTTTATGCTTTGGCCGTCCCTAATGAAGCAACGGGCCGCTGGATGCTCAAATTCGGCCACTCAGTTGACCATCTGCGACGTCTCCGCCAACATCGTACAAACTGCAAGGGACAGCAGTTCCATCTTCTACTGGCATATCGAGTCCCAGTGAGAATCTACTTCGGTAAGCGGCTTGAACAATCTCCAAGTTCTTATACTGAGACTTTTGTAGAACGCGTCGTGCATGACTTCTTCGACTTTCAGCACCATGCATGGCAGGGGGCTGTATACTGCTCCTTCTGTGGTCGGTTCCACGTCGAATATTTCGACGCCTGGCGTTGTGGGAGCATAAATGAAGTGGGACACATAATCGAAAGATTGATTCTTTTGCAAGGATGGGACGTGGACAGGCTTGTATAAAAGGAATATACTCTTATGTTGACTGCAAATTCGGGCCGCCGGGACGATCGCCAGCAGCGGCGAAGCCGCCTGAGTCACAGTTCATCTGCTGTGAGGAAGCCAGGACCCATTGGAGAGCCGGAGGAAGAAGGGTTGACGGCTGTTCTCTACCCTCATCGGAGTTGTCATTAGCGAGCTCCACAAGCCTGGTTTAGCCCCACTCGAACCGGCTCTAGAGGACCCGCAAAGCGCTGCCGCCCCCGAGAATTCTTCTCTCCCAGCCGAAACGTCGGAAGCTGGCCCAGTGCAAACGTCGTTTCTTCACAATCACCCCATCTCCCTTGCCTCCATCACCAACTTGTCGATATTGCCGTTCGCAAAAGACGCCCCGACTATCCGTGCTCTTACCGGCGAGCCCATCGACGTTTACAAAGACGTTGCGCAACTTAATCCCGCGAGATTGCGAAGAAGGTGTTCGAGGAGGAGTTGAACAAGCTTGCGGGTCATTTCAGCTCTGGCCCGCCATATGGATGCTTCCCGTCGACAGCAAATATGGACCATGGCCTGCTTCGGGCGAAATCGATCTGGTCGAAAGTCGCGGCAATGGTCTGAAGTACACAAATCGTGGGGCCAACTATGTGCAAGGCTCCCTCAACTGGGGCCCAATCCCAGTCCTCAACAGTGTCGGAAAGTCGTATTCGTGGTGGACAGAGAAGCGCAAGATCTTTAGCAGCGACTTCCACACATATACCATGGAATGGACCGACAAATGGATTCGTATTTCTGTCGATACACGCCTCCATACCCTCCTCGACCTCCAATTCAAGGAACCGTTTTTCAAGCGTGGAGACTACCCGCCCACTGCGATCGATACCAATGGTCACCCAGTACCAGTCACAAATCCATGGGTCAATGGCACAAACGCGACTCTGTTCGACCAAGACTTTTACCTGATCATGAATGTCGCTGTCGGTGGGACGAATGGGTGGTTTCCGGATGGTCAAGGAGATAAGCCGTGGCTAAATCACGCCGGCAGTACGTTGTTTCCCGTATTGTTACTTTTTGCTAACTTGATATTACAGAGCCCATGTCCGACTTCATCAACAACAAGCAACAGTGGCTACCGACTTGGCCGGAGAACCTCGAGGAACGTGCCTTGGCGGTGGACTACGTGCGAATGTGGAAACATTGCGGAGACCCATAAACTGGATCCTGGACACGCTCTTTTTAGGTTACTTATTGTACGCATCACGCATCTCTTTTGTCGCTCTTCCAGCCACCTCTGTCGCTACTGTGCGTGTAATATCTTTAACTCGGGTTGTAATGCTTGCTTTGGTAGAAGGAATGACATCGTCGTCACAGCCACCGCTTTCTTTCTTGAACCATGTCAAACGACGTCGACGAGACGTGAACTCATCATCGCGTACTTAGATTGCTGGCTAACGCTGTACCAGGCTCAGTGTTGAGACCACCGATTTTGATTATACCGACGAGGAGTTCACCGTGTCAGATACTTCCGATTCCTCTGCGGGAGATCCAACAGATGCTATTATCGCGCTTCCTCCCCCAACGACTCGTATCAAAGTCTCAGTCAAGCCCGCCGCTGTGTCAGAGTCGCCTGGTGCTCTTGTGTCTCGAGGATTGGTTGCGGGTGCTCCGAGCAATCACGATGTGCGTCCCTCTGTTATCAACCGCCAGTACATCCTAACAGTGCGCCTGTTTTTCAGCTGGCAGACGCGAAAGTGAGTATTGGCTATAACTGCGTAGTTGAACACCACGACTTAGCGTGGAAAAACGCCTCCAGCTGAAATCGGTGCCTTGGACGAAGAAGCAACCACTGCTGTTGCCCCCACTACGCCAATCCAACCGCTAGCAATCACAGCAGTGAACAATACGGTGCGTGTACTATATCCACTGGGCTCAATCCTCAATAAATTTCAAAGGTAACCTCACCTGATCCGGAGGCCCAGCCAGAAGCTACGAATAACGTGTCCTCGTCTCCCGTCATCCCAAACGAGCATCTTCGCGGTGTTGTAGCGAATCAAGAAGCTGAAGCGGTAGCCTCCCATCTTGTTAGCCATGACAACTTGAACAACGAGGACGAGGACGAGGACGTTGTGAGTGCCACTTATTATATATAGTATCATGGTGCTATTTGTCGCGAATGCTAGTAGCTGAAGCTTCTCAGGCCGGGTTTTCCCTCGTCGCGTCTTCGTCTGTACCAAGTCTGTCGTATCTGTTGAATCCGGATCCAAGTAGCCCAGGTTCGGCGATCAGCCCTATCTCTGTCGACTGAAAATCTCACCATGCAACAGACAAGCAAACCGACGACAACATGCGATCTGTGCTCAGAAACTGTCTCGAAAGGGAACGAAAAGATTTGCGCGGATACGCCGGCCTCAGGCTGACCCGGGCAACAGCGTGAGACGTTGGAGGATCACCAGAGCGTATCGCAGCTCACTTCTTTCTCCCTTCTGCCGAGCTACCGGAGAGCGAAGACGCAGGCAACGACCGACAGTTGTATCAGACATTTCAGTTTCTGGGATCAGCACCCTAGCTTTGTAGCAACTACACCAGTTGGAACGGCTCTGATAACTTGATCCTTGACTACCAGTATTGTACAAATCAACTATGTGGCACATCGAACTATCGGATGGGTACCCGTCGACTTGTAAATCCAATTCCG